CCGTGCCCACAGGACTAGGGTGAGAAACTAAGAAGATATGAATACAAAATTTGAGTGCAACAGGCATATTGTTGCTATTGGAGTTGCTCATGAATGGATAAGCAAGTTGAATCCCCAGACCTGGTTATGCTCCTGCGCGCTTGGCGTGCCCACACCCATAGCTGGAAAATCGCCTGGAACCTAACGTTTGTTTGAATGGCAGCCGCAGGAGCCTTCACCCATCATGCACCCCTCTCAGCCGTTCTGAGCCTGTGGTGAGCGAATGGATCTCTTAAGCTAGAGCATTGCTTCTCTAACTTAACTGCGACACAGATCCCCCCAGGGATCTTGTTAAAAACCACATCAGTCAGTCCAGTGTGGGGTGCAAGGGTCTGCATTTCTAACAAGCCCCAGGTGACGCTGAGGTTACTGGTCCACAAACCACAGTGCTTTGAGGACTGAGGAGCCGGGCTAGACGTTTGGTGAGGTCAGAAGGACTGTGAAATGTCCGCAAATAATGACAGCCCTCTACTCGCCAGGCACAGTTGTGCACAATCCTTAAAAGAGTCCCGGGAGATGGGCTCTTTTATGATGAAGCTCCCCAACCAAAGACCACCAAGAACACACTTCTAGTCACGCCGGGGTAGATTAATTCAGCTTGCTGCAGCAAGTGAGGACGCACGCCAGGGAACTGTAGGAGGGCATGGGAGGGGTTGTTACGAGGTTGGGGCTTGTGCTGGGAGAGTCTAAGGAGGGATCAAGGAATGAGTGGACAGTTTTAGACTGAGTGCAATCCAAGAGCAAGGGCGATTTGACGATTGGGGGTATCTTGGTCATTTGTCCAGGAGGGTGCAAGATTAAAGTGGGCTAAGATTGCCATGAAGAGAGAAGCAATAGTCAAGTTAGTCAGAAGAGGGGGGAGTTTATGTTTGTGATTGCAGAGTGCCCATCTCTCTGTTTCATGGCGGTCTGGGTTGCTGGTTTGTTCTCACAAGGTCGTGGAGGGACCCTGTCTGATTATTGTTTTTATTATGTGAGTGATGGTTATGTTCCCCTAGGAACATCACAGCTAGTATTGTCCTTTGACCTGAGCAAGCTGGGACCCTGTGCCTCTCAGGGCTCCTCACATTGGAGCAACTTCTTGGAATTTTCTAGGTCCCTCCCCGCTGCCTGAGACTAGCCAGAGCTGGCAGTGCCATCACTCCGGGATGCCCTGAGTCCCGACTGAAACTCCCATTTCTCCCATTCAAAGTGCTTTCTGAATTTCTATTAGGTTGTTGAAAAAGTAATCACGGTTCTTATTATTACTTTCAATGGCAAAAGCCACAATTCCTTTTGTACCAACGAATACCTGAGCATTGGGGTCAGCGGATGCCCTGAGGACTTCACACTCATGTGATCCCCCATGGCCCAGTGTCTGGGCACCTCATCCAGGAGGGCAGCCTGGTGAGTGGCTTGAGCTGCCAGAATGGTCCTGCCATGCTTCAGAGAAACCCGAAGTGTTCATACAGATGGGCCCCCACCAAAGTTATTTGCCTGGGGCCTGGACATCCAACAGCTGGACCCCATTCCAACCTCGCCGGCAGTCGCTGGAACTATTTTCATTTTCTTGAATATTATCATCTTCATTATATAGAAGAGGAAACTGAGGTCCCCAGAGGTGAAGCAACTCCCCTGGCATTCAACAGCAGAGAAGCTGGGATTCCCACTGCTCTCACCCGCTGCGGTCCCTGCCACGCCTCGCCCACTCCAGAGCACCTCGGAGGCCTTCAGACCCCTCGCGTTTGTGCTCCATCTACTGCTGACGCTTCCAACACTATGCCTAGTTTTCAAACTGTTTAAATTTTTTTGTTGTTGTTCCTGTGTGGTACTTGGAACTCTCCAGGCGTCTCCCATGTTTTGCTCTTCCCCTCCTTCCTCTTCCTGACTCTGTCTTCTCTGGATTGCTTCTGATTAGGTGCCTCCCATGCTCCTTCTGAACCCTGGGCCAGATCTGTCACAGGACAAAGGAACATTTCAAAGTGTAAACTTTGGCTTTATGTGAACCCCAGAGACTGTGAACAACGAAGAATGTTCTCTCAAATGGCAGGAGGACTATCCAGATTGCTGGGGGTGGTGCTGATGTGAGCTGCGAGGAGGAGGCGCTGGGTGTGTGGGCAGAAATGTGAAATGTGTTAAGGCTTCTATTATGGGGTCAGCCCACCTAGTGTGGTCACCCTCCCCTCTGCTGATTTCAAGAGCTGGAAACAGAGGGAAGTTAAGCCATGACTAAGAAGCCTGGCGTCCTTTCAATGGAGAAAGGTAGCCCTGTCGCTTCAGTGAGATGAAGCCTGTTTCTTGCTGCTGGAGAAGATTCCAGAACTTGAAAGAAGGCATGTCTCTGTGAGTCCAGCGGTCGGCTCACCCTAGAGGCAGTGTCTGTAATGGGAGGAGCCCGGGCTTTGAGGTCCACTGACCTGGGCTGGAATCTCAGCTTTGTCAGTTTATTAGCTGTGCAGCCTTGAGAAAGTTACGTAAGCCCTCCGTGCCTCAGTTTCCCCATCTGAAGAGTGGAGATGATAATGCTTTTCCCAAAGGGTGGTTGTGAGAATTGAGTAAGAGGGTGTCAGTGCAGTGACTGGCACTTTGTGGCTATTGTTATCATTTTTGTAATGTTAGACCGTCTTAGCAAGGACAGTCTGAATTTGTAGGCCGGCTCTCCTGCGTGTCACATCAAAGACCTAAGGAAATCTCTCTCATATATACATAGTTTGTTTTTTAAAAATCAGTTGCAAATTTATTATCTATCAGTATATCCAGGTCTTTTGCACTCACTTTACATTTTCAGCCTGTATCATACCTGCAGGTAATAAAGTTCAAAAGCACTGCAGCTTGTTATGTAATAGAGCATCTTTCATTTATCCAGAAACTCCCACGCTCCACAGTTCAACGTCAAATCAGTCCAAGTTCATTCTATTCATAACCTTCATAACTTCCTAGAAGACACTTGAATATCTTCTTTTTCTCCTTTAATATGTTATTTATCTCTCACCAAAGTTTTTCCAGTAGTTAAAAAAAAAGTCTTAAAATACAGCTTCAAGACTATTCCCGGCGTGAGCACAGCATACAATTCATTTTTTAACCTCAGCATTTCTGAAGGCCAAGAGATCCGCTGGCTCTTCAGGCTGTAGCAGCAGCCGCAGTGGAGGAGGCTTAGTTAGCAGCCCCCGTTTTGGGGTCAGTTTTATCGGGTTTGAATCACGTCTCTACTGCTTAACAGTTAGCTGTGTGACTACGTCTCACGTTAGGTGGCAACGACATTAGTATTAGTCACAGAGGCTGGTGGTAGTCATTGGACGTGTTTGGGCAAGTGCTCGGCAGGGCAGCAAAGGGCAAGTGGCCAGGAACAGGCGCTGTGGGAGCTCTCGGTGCTGTCTTCAGCAGCCAGTCCACCTGAGAACAAGACCTCACCCCTTTTGATTCAGCTACAGCCAACTGCCTCTTTCCTGACTTTCTGACCTCTGCACGTTATTCATTTTGCATAATATTATTGCCCATATCTGTTCCTAAAAATGTTGCTTTTATCATGCTGTCCTCGAAAAAAGCATGCAAAATTCCCTCTTGCTGTGTCTTGTTTTTAGAGTCCTGCATGCAACAGCCTCCCTTCCTTCTTTGCCTCTCCATCCCTCTACCTCTCTTCAAACCTTGGAGGATTCTGCAAATGTCTGGAGATGGCCACGGGACTGTGACCCAGCCTGGAGACGTAGGGAGCTCTCAGTCTTGGTGAGCAACGCATGTTGCCCCAGAATCCCCCGGGGGAGAAACATTTCCCCCCAGAAAAGCTGGGATCTGAACCATGGAGATTGCCTGTGTCCGGAGTTCCTAGTGTGAACAGGGGTCTCGCTGGGCAGTAGTGAAGTCAGAATCGCTGAGAATCCCTGGCAAGTAAGGACAGCATAAAAAGAGAAGACGATGCAGGACACAGCATCTGGGAGCAAAGAAGTCTGGAGAAGCTGGAGCCTGGAATGCAAGTGAGGCAGTGGGGGAGTTGCCAGTCCATCCAGCTGAGGCCAGCAGATGCAGGGCTCCCGAGGCCGGGCCCAGAGCTTTGGTTACTATCTTGTAGGCAGTGGGAGGTTATTGAACCTTTTTAAGCAAGGATGTAGCATCATGTAATTTCCAAAGAAATGATCAGTTTAATGGTTGTAAAAGGATTTCATGGTTATTACAGAGAATTGGAAGAAATATAGAAAACAATGAGAAAATAAAAATCCTGGGGCCCAGAGTTAAACGTTATTGTACGACAATATGATAATGATAAACCTTATCGATAACATTACTGTATTCCTATGATCTCTCTCCCCCACCCCATCGTAGCTACCGTGTAATGGGCGCTGAGTATCTGCCAGGGTCTGTTACAAGGGCTTGCTTTGTGTAATCCTCACAACACCGCTGTGCTGTAGGTCAAATGCTGATTCCCATTTTCAGATGAGGAAACGTTCAAAGCCTGGGTCACACAGCTGGAAGCAGTGGCATAGGGGTCTAGGCCCAGATAATCAGGCTCCAACACCTGTATTCTGAATCCCTGGGCCACACTGCTGCTTGGGGGTCACACAGCATAGAATCAATATACACGTGCATCAGTAGATGGCCAGTCTTGTTTAAGATAAGAGTTTGGCATCCTGATATGCTGAACTGGGTTGTCAAAAGAGAATTTTGGTAAGGGCAGGAAGGAGCTTGTGTTGGTGGGGAGTGGTTTACAGGGAGGAGGTAGGAGGGACAAGCGTGGTAGCCACAGCAATGGTCCAGAGAAGAGAGGTCTAAAGGAGAAACTCCAGTGGTCCAGAGGAGAGAGGGTAGATGAGTAAGTGTAGAGAATGAGAGTGTGGCTGAGCGCAGTGGCTCATGCCTATAATCCGCACTTAGGGAGGCTGAGGTGGGAGGATTGCTTGAGCCCAGGAATTCGAGACCAGTCTGGAAAACACAGTGAGACCTCATCCCTACAAAAAATTTAAAAATGGTCTATGCATGATGCTGCCCACCTGTAGTCCCAGGTACTGGTGGGGCAGGTGGTGGGGGATCTGAGGTTCCTGGGAGCTGAACCTAGGAGATTCAGGCTGCAGTGAGCTGTGATGGTGCCACTGCATTCCAGCCTGGGTGACAGCGTGAGACCCTGTCTCTGAAAAACAGACATACAAAAAGGAATGAGAGTGAGAGGGGATGGGGGCGTGGAAGTAGGAATGACCTTGATGAGTCTGTGTGTGAGCAAATGCATATGCACCATGATGCATCTGCACACACACGTGTCTATGTGAGTACAGGAGGGATTGAGGGAAAGGAAGGAATCAGGAAAATCATGGGGATTCTGTACTGAGCACCAGAGCACTTATAGGAGGCAGAAATGTTCAGGACAGGAGGAAGGTGATGAGTTTACTTTGGGACCTTATGAGTGTGTGTGCTGTCTGTCAGGAGGGGGTGTGCACTGGGCAGGTAGACACACGCAGGTAGAAAAACAGAATGGAGTCAGCTGCACTGGTTTGTTCTGAAGTCAAGGAACATGAGGTTCCCTGGGAAGAGTGGTCAAAATAGAAAGAGGAGGCATCTGCGGAGGAAGCTTGGGGACACAGAGAGGACAAGGACGGCAGAGTTGGATGGTACTGTGGAATCTAGATCTGAGACAGTAGCCAAGATCCCAGAAGCAGGGTGGATGGGAACAGGAAAGGGGGCTGAATTTGCGGTTCTCCTCCCCAGACTCCTGTTTCTGCCAGACTGATTTCTTACTTGCCTTTTAAAATCGTTTTTACCTGCAGTTCATCTCACTGTCTCAGCCTGTCTTGCTGTGTATGTATGTAAGGCCTGTTTATACCCTCACCTCCTCCAGGAAGCCTTCCCAACCGACTGGCTGCTGGGCCTTGTACTTTGTTCAAGTTCCCTACCCCACTGTCATTTACCGCATTTCCCCCAAGATTCCAAACATCTGGGGGCAGAGCCTTTGCCTTCCTTGTAACCCCACGGTGCCTGAGAACCAGGTGCTGATTAATTGGTTGCTTGTAACCCACAGCATAGAGTGTAATATTTTACTTGTATAGTTCGGATTTTTAAAAATATTCTTTCTCGAGACACCAGAAGCTCCTCTGCCCTTTTTAGCTCAGACACAGCTTTGTGACTGCTTCCCATGGCATATTCTTTCCTGTTGGGCTAGCATTTTGCTACTCTTCACAGGCAGCCCAAGAGTGAAGTTTCACCTTCTGTTCAGTTTCCTTTTTTCATTTCCCCACTGGTCTCCATCGCAGTAAGCCTCCCACCCCTCTTATCCCCAAGTTATGACAACCCCCCATCCTAGAACCCCTGGCGCAGTCCTTCTGGCGTGCCGTATTTGCCAAGCTGTTTAACTCTTTGTAGGTATTCATTGATCTGATGGGGTTGGGTGGGCAGAGCCTGTTCCATGCCCCTTCTCTAGGCACAAAATCAGTGCCTAAAGTAACATTTCAACCAGCCTTCTAGACAACTCTAATGGAAGACTCATAGGTTCCATTTAGAGCCAGAAGGAATCCTCACTCATAGACACATGCACATGTGTACATACATATGCATACGTATATTTATATGATGAGGATCAGTAATAAATACTGACAATGGCATTGATGACAATGACTACCATGTTCTGAGTACTTACTATATGCCGGGCACTATGCAGAGTGCTCTCTAGATGTCCGCTCTATTTAATCCTCTCTTCCCTGCCTGACACTTTTCCATGCCCTATGGAATTGGGCTTGATCGTAAATCACTGCAATGCAGGGTGGGTTTTCTTGGCTTTCTTTGTGGGGATGTGACAGAGTAGTCCCAGGAACTCTTTGTAATCAGTGCAGGAGCTTTGGAGGAAATCCACAGCAGTGGAAGTGAATGTCCTAATCCTGCTTCATCTCTATGTCTTATCGTCTCTCCTCAGAGAGAGTGACCACGGCCTTGGATGCAATATATCAACTTGTGGAAGCAATGACATTTGTCCTGTCCCAGAAATCGGTGTCTCTCGGGCATGTCCTGTGAAAATATTCCACTAAATAAGCAATGATTGATGGGATTCTAATTAAAAAGAGAATGCAAAAGTTTAGCAGGGAAAATTTCCTGAGAAAGAATAAACCAGCTTCCCAATTTTGATTTTTAGTCCTGCTTAGGGCTATTACCATTCAGTTGGAAAGTGGTAGGAAACCAACAGTGTTGATGTTGAAAAAATACAAACTAGAGCACTAACTAATCTCTATTTCCCTAAGTCATTCAAAAAAACTGTTAAGGAGGTAAAAAAGGGAACTTCACTGAGAAATATGTTGGATTCAGTGAGAGGCAGAGATTACATTTGGCGTTTGAGGTCAGTTAAGTAGCGTGAAACACTGAAAGACTGCAGAAGTTGCGATCCCAAGAGAAGTTAAAAATAAAACCTTTTAGAGCATGTTCCATCCTATGTTTTATAATGCTGTCCCATTTTGAAAAGGCGTAAGAATGCATTAAATGAACACACTAGAAGGAAATGTAATTTGAAAAGTACAACCTGCGGGGAGGGGAGGAGGGCGGAAGGTGTGAGAAGCCAAGCCAGATGGCGGTGGGTGGGGGGGCGTGCGCTGGCGTGAGGGGAGGCAAGAGAAGTGGAAGCAGGAGGCAGGGAGTCTGTTTTGTGTTGAAGGATGATGTGTTAGTGAGTTCAGGCTGCCATAACAAAATAGCACAAACTGGGTGGCTTAAAGAACAGAAATGTATTTCCCATGGTTCTAGAGGCTGGGATGTCCAAGATCAAGGAGCCGGAGATGCAGATTCTGGCAGGGCTCTCTTTCTGGCTTGCAGACAGTCACCTTCTTGCTGTGTGCTCACACAGCTTCTTCTTTGTGTGAAAGCAGAGAGAGACTGAGCTATCTGGTGTCTCTTCTTATAGGAACACTACCATTATTGGATCAGGGCCCTACCCTTACGAACTGGTAATTACTCTTAATTATGTCCCCAAAGACCCTGTCTCTAAATACAGCCACCATGGGGGTGGGGTTTCAACATATGAAATTCTGGGGTACACAAACAGATGGGTTGTTCAATAGATGGTTGTAGGCTACAGGAAGGGGCCAATGGAGAGAGGAAAGACAGGACGTTAGGAGGGACAACAAAGAAAGAGAGGATTAGTAGAGCCACAGTGGAGACCTGGTGTCAGGAGAGAGGAGTGGACATCTCAATAAATCAGGAGGCAAAATTATCTGGTAAGTGGCAATGAGCTTGGAATTTGGGAAGAGTAAAGAGATCAAGAACAGCCTCCGTGGGGAATGAAATAAGAAGTTAGCTGGGTACTGCCAGGCAATATCAAGGGGCCTGCTAAGGTGAGCTCACATGACTGCCACCCAGAGATCAGCTTACACGTCACCTCTTTATGGAGGTCTCACCTGCTTTAATTTTTTTGCATAGCACTTAGTCCTATCTGATTTGGTTCTCATCTCCGTTCTCCCCAGAAAGTACTCTGTGAGACCTTGGATTTTTTGCCTTGTATTTCCAAGGCTTAAAGTAGTGCCTAACATAGAAAAAGCCACGTAAATACTGGATGAATTGATGGATGTTGTAATGGCAGCAGGAAGAATTATGTGACAATCCACCAGTGCCACTCAGGGCCCCAGGATCAAAAGTGAGGAAAAAGGAAGGTTATCCAAGACCGACTGCTGGCAAGACAGAAAAGACAGAGAGGTCAAGGTGATGAAAGAATTAAGGGTGGCAGTGAGGACACTGTAGAAAGAAGTGTCCACTGAACCCAGGCTGAGTAAGGAGGGAGAGGTGACAAGGAAGACAGGCCGTGGGGGTGAGTAAAGAGGAAGCAGGGGGCACAGGCATGGTGGCTCACACCTTAATCCTGGCATTTCGGGAGGCCAAGCCAGGCAGATCACCTGAGGTCTAAAGTTTGAGACCAGCCTGGTCAAATGGTGAAACCCTGTCTCTACTAAAATTACAAACTGCTGGGTGTGGTAGTGGACATTTGTAATCCCAGCTACTGCAGAGGCTGAGGCAGGAGAATCGCTTGAACCTGGGAGGTGGAGGTTGCAGTGAGCTGACATTGCACCATTGCACTCCAGCCTGGCAACAGAGTGAGACCCTGTCTAAAAAAAAAAAAGAGAAAGAGAGAGAGAGGAAGCAGGGAAGGGACTGCAGACTGCCCTGAGGTCGAAAAGCAGGCTTAGTGGGAACACTTGGAGAATAATACACCCTGGTCAACAGAATGCAGGGAGTGGGAGATTGCTGAGCTGCAGAGATGCCAAGTGATGCAAACGGCCAACCTGTGTCCATGACAGTGGGTTGCCCACATGAAGCAGAAGTGAGAGGTACTGAAGTTTAGCCCATCAAGGCACTGCAAAATAGGACAGCCTTCCCTAATGTGTGTGTTCCAAGAATAGTAATTCTGAGACTTAAATTGTACTGACAGAATAAAGGGCTCTGTGGTCAAATAACTTTAGAAAATGCAAGTTAGAAAATGGATTCCCCATATTGCCAACTTCCATAAATCTTCAAAATACTTAAAAAGGCTTCAAAAGAGTGTATTATGTTTCCCAGACTTATTTAACTGATGAATCCTTTTTTTAGAGATAGGGTCTCACTGATGCCTGGAGTGAGACCCCGTCTTAAAAAATATAAAGTGCAGTGGTGTGATCATAGCTCACGGCAGCCTCAAAGTTTCAGGCTCAAGTGATCATCCTGGCTCAGCCTCCTGAGTAGCTAGGATTACAGGCACACAAATCCTTTTTTTTTTTCTCTTTGAGGCAGGGTCTCGCTCTGTCACCTAGGCTGGAGTGCAGAGCTACAATCATAACTCACTGCAGCCTCAACCTCTTGGGCTCAAGCAATCCTCCTCCCTCAGCCTCCAGAGCAGCTGGGATTACAAGCGTGCACCACCATGCCTTGTTATTATTACTGTAGACATGAGGTCTTGATATGGTGCCCAGGATGGTCTCAAACTCCTGACTTTAAGCAATCCTCCCACCTTGGCCTCCCAAAGTGCTGGGTTTACAGGCATGAGCTGCCGTGCCCAGCTGTGTGACTCCTTTTTTATTTCCCTCCAG